GGACGGCTTTTTTTTTTTTTTTTTTTTTTTTTTTTTGAGAAAAGATCTCTTGCTATTCCAGACTGGTGTTGCGCTTACTGGTAGCCTACGCTGGCCTCAAACTTATGATGATCCTCCTGCCTCAGCCTCTCAAGTGCTGAGTATACTGGCATGTACAGCCATGCCCAGATCTTATGGTTATTTTTTATATTCCTTCCCTAAGAGAGCTTTGCAGGCAGCCAATCAGAATCTGGGGACTCCAAAATATTGTAGACAATAATGGGGTTTGCAACAGCATATGCAACTAGTAAATTTTTTGTTAAGCTAGCTTTGCAAAGGGCTTGAATTTTGATAGGGCGGGCTCATATAGACCTTTTTTTTCTTATTTGTTCTTACAGGTTAAGTCATTTGCTCTGCTATTTCTCCTATACTGGAGACAACACTGGGCTTGCTATGCAAGTACTATACCACTGAGCTCCATCCCGAGACCACAGATGTGCTTGTGATTTAAAGCTTTGTTTTATATTTACAAGGTGATACAACTTTTTCTCCAGAGCTAAAATGGAGCTATATATTCAAAAAGAGAAAAAATATATTGGTGCATTTTGAAGACAACTCAACTCTAAATCTGACACATTTTTTTTAAATTTCTATCTTAACTAAAAATCTCCATGATTTAAAGAACAAATTAAAGACTATACAATTAGATGAACAAGCAGACCCTTGATAACACTCAGGCAAAAACAAAGTTCTTGGGTGAATTGAGAGCAAATGTCTGTGTTTTAAAAATTGAGTCATTACAAAGACAAAAATAGCCCACTTATTTATCTCAGAAGACCTGCAAGTACCATAAAAACCTCAGCACATTAGAGCCAGACACAGTGGAGTATAATCTCAACTACTGGGGTGGCTGAGGCAAGAGGATACCAAGGTGGAGTCCAACCTGGGCAATTTAGAGAGACAGACCTTGTTGCAAAATTTAAGAAAAAAAAAGGGGGGTGTCGTGGCTGTGTAGCATCCCTGAGTTCCATCCCCATTATTGGAAACAAAGATCTGGACCTTGGAAAGGAGATTGTCCTGCTGTTCAAAAAAAGAAAATATAAATAGTAATTTAATAGACAAATATATCTCCTAAAACTCCTTGATGAAAATGTACTATGCTTTTACTGTATGATGTAAATTTGCTTCCAGCCATGTGCATGTGTGTGTGTGTGTGTGTGTGTGTGTGTGTGTGTGTGTGTGTATGGTGTTAGGACACAAACCAGAGCTTCACCATGATAGGCAAGTCCTCTAACACTGAACTATACCCCCTGCTATCAATTCAAGTCTTTCCTGAAAAATTACTCGTTTTGAAATGCAAACTTCAAGGAGAATGACACAGAGAAAGAAAAAATGCCTAATTTTTGTTATTGGCTACTAATAAAACCTGATAATGAGATCCATTTTTTCTTAACAGCTCTCTGGTCAGTTTTAATTAAAAAGTTGATATTCAGGTTAAGTGTACGTTGAAGCCATTATATTTTTTGTTGATTCCAACTGTCTATAAATTTGAAAGCTTTTGTATTTGTCTTGTTGTGACAAAGTGGAACAGCTCAGTGCTTCAGCCAAGTGCCACAGCTCTGAGACATAGCTGAGTGTTACAGCTCTGTGTCACAGCGATAACAATTTAAGACTCCAGAATCCAAAGGTGACTTGAGAGGTGGGGAAAAAAAAAACTTTGGTTATTCCAGGGGACTGCACATCAAAATCTGATCTCTTTGCCAGAAGTGGGAGCCTCTTTATATAGGTATCTATGGGGTAGGCAAGCATGAGGGGTGGGAGTGAAGGCAGAGTTACATAATATTCTTGAAACACATACCTGGTGAGTATGTTCACAGAAGCAGAGGAGTGGAGTTAATAGGACATTCCTGAAAGGGATGGAGTTACAGAATATTTCTGAAACAGACCCAGTGAGCCTGCTCAAAGAAGCAGAGGGGTGGAGTTAACAGCTTTCCTGAAAGGGGTGGAGCTAACATTCTTGAAAGGTCACAGTTCAGTTAGAAAACATTTTGATACACTGGGCAGGAGCACTGCAGTACAAATTTAACATTTCTGGAACAAAACATTTTGTGGAAAAACATGGCAAGGCAAGAGCTTGTTTTATGAATTATTGCTCTATTAGTCTCATAACTAAAATTTTAAAATGAATCTTTTTGGGATTTTTATGGCTACATGTATACATATGTGTGGTATGTTGTATATATTTATGTCTATAAGTCTCAATACTGTACATAGGATCAAATTGAGAGCACTTATAATCTGCATATATTTGTTAATATGATTTTAGTAAAATTTGGCGAATATGTTATTGATCTAATTAAACATGTCTATTAAAATTAAATATAATACTAACAGATTTTCATCTCTAGTAGGTGTTTAAGATCATGAAAATTGTAAGTTTGCCCTAAAAATACAAAATTCAATAGACATAAATATGACAGCAAATATACTTTTAACAATAATTATATTTCACAACATATTTACTTTACTTAAGTAGGTTTCCCCAATCTCTTTGATAACTACATCTTTAGATATTTGATAGGCTAAATTAATTGATGAATATTCATTAAGTATTTAGACCATTGTCAAATAACAAAATATTAAAACATTGGATGCTAAGGTAAATTTGAGTTTATCAACTTTAGACTTCTTGCAAAGGAACTAAACATAATTGAGTCTTTTAATAAACATTAAAAATTGTATTTGGTAGGAACACATTTCTACAAAAGGATTATAAAATGATGTTAATCTACAAGATTCTGGTTCGCAGTTTTCAAGAGTTAAAATTCTAAGTTGAATGCGGTGGTGCAACTCTGGGATACTAAGGTAAGAGAGATTACAAGTTCAAGCCTGGCTTGGGCAATTTAACAATTTAGGAGAGCCTGTCTTGAGATTAAACAAAAAAAAAAAAAAAAA